CTTGTTCAGGTACCATGACATAATGAGTTAAGTGCTTTTAAAAAGTGCTTCCCAATTGTAGGAAGGGTAGTTTTATTAAGATAATCTTCATGTGCCAAGTGGAATCACAGATAAGCTTTAAGGGAAAAGAAAAAAGAAAGGCAAACTTTCGTATTTCAATTCCATTTCCTCTTGAGAAAATAACCGAGATGCTATTAAGTGATCATCTCAGCCCAAGTTGCAGGGAATCGTTTAACCTTCTTGCAAAGCTTCCAAGTAAAACTGAAAACAAGAACCATTTCAGCCCGGCCGGTGTGGCCCAGTGTTTGCACGTTGACCTATGAACCAGGAGGTTACGGTTCTGTTCCCGGACAGGGTACATGCCTGGGTTGCTGGCTTGATCCCCATCTTGTAACCAGTAGGGGGGGATGCAGAATGCAGCTAATCAATGATTCTTTCTTGTCATTGATATTTCTATCTCTCCCTTTCTCTTCCTCTCTGAAATCAATATATATTTTAAAAAAAGAACTGTTTCAGATTTTGTTTCTCCTCTGAACATCTTTCCAGAGTGTTATGGTATCTTCTCATCTTTAGGAAGAAGTGACAGCTGGATGTCCTTTCCTGAAATACTGTAACATCATTCGCAGAACCCTTCCTCTGAAGTACTTGTTTCCTTTCACACAGAGCAGGGGAACTGCTGTCTTACAGAACGGAGACATCAGCTGCTGAGCAGACTCAGACACCTGAAACTAGAAGGAACCTCAAGCTCATTGCCACCTGCTCACTTCACAGCCGAGGACACCGAGGCCCACAGCAGTTCAGGGATGTGGTCCAGCTGCTGGTGAGAGAACCAGAACTTGGATCCTGACTAGACTCAGGTCTGTGGTTCTTTCTACTCTTTCCAGAAGCCGATGTTTACAGAAAAGCTATATTCCTTTTGCTTAGTGCATAGTTTCTGGTCACAGCTCAACTACAGACTCATGATGGAGTATAAGTGTTGGGAGGAAGAGCTGCTTGATTCGCCTCTGTACAAAGAGTGTAGAGAACAGTGATGGCGAACCTTTGACATGCATGTCAGAGGTGACACGCGAACTCATTTTTTTGGTTGATTTGTTAAATGGCATTTAAATATATAAAATAAATATCAAAAATATAAGTCTTTGTTTTACTATGGTTGCAAATATCAAAAAATTTCTATATGTGACACGGCACCAGAGTTAAGTTAGGATTTTTCAAAATGCTGACACGCCGAGCTCAAAAGGTTCGCCATCACTGGTATAGATGGTAAGACATATACTGGACTTGCAATAAGTGTTGGTCATGACATTCTACTTAACATTTACATAGCATTCTTTCCACTGAGACATGCTTTTGCAAATAAGAAACAAGCGGAACCTCACACCGGACTGCCGATTGTCAGGTGACATGTTCTCAGAGTATATGCTTTCATTTTCCCATTTAAAAACATGAAAAACGAATCCAAGCATACACTTCACTGAAGGATCTCAAACACCCTGAAACGTTCTCTTTCCAGGTATGGCGAGGAAGTTTCCTACGGCTATTAGAGCTCTAGATAACAAAAGTGCCTTGAATACTCAGAGAAAAGACAAATAAAACACTAATTTCACAGACACCTGGGATCGAACTTCTTTCTTGATGCGATCTATTGGCCCACTGCGCGCACAGCCGTGTTAACTAGGGCACGAGCTGCTCTTGGTCTCTGCTGTGTAAAACAGCTCTGGTTACTGGACGAACATCGGTGTCAAGCAGGAGAGGGCTCTGGGAGAGTCCACGGCCTTAGGGCAGCCCACTGCAAGGGATGCTCCTGGCAAAATGTAAAATTATCTGCAGCCCTGAGCTGAAACCACGGGAGCACACGGACAAGCGGTGGTATTGTTTCCGATGGAGCCCCGGATAGTCTGCGCTTCCTCCGGAGCCTCCTCTTGCTTCTTCAACGAACTCTGGGGAATGGCATCATGTCAGGCTTTCCAGATGGATTATGTGAAGCCATAGCTCAATGTCATTTTCAATAGGAAGCCTCATAATTAAAGGTCAAATAGTCACTTCATCTGCAATCAATCAATAGAAAAAGTACTAATACGAAGAACTAATCAATCAATGGCAAATGCACTAATAAAAGCAATGAATCAAATTCAGCATGTGTGTAGGTGCGAGCACATGGAGGATATCGAGACAGGACAAGAGCAAGAATAATAAAATAAATCGAGAGTGTACATACAAGACAGCTTTCAGAAGGCTTCTCAAGCAAGAGTTTTCATCTTTGGTTCTGTAGTTCCATGGGTACCACTTGGACTGCAATGATTTATTCTTAAATACAAATACTGGATGTAAGAATGAATGGTATTCATAAGTATTCTATTTGAGATGCTGAGTGTGTGTTCGGGGGTGTGTATGTATAAAACCACTCGGAGAATACTATGACAGTGACTGCCAAAGGTATAGATATATATTCTAAATACCAAGTAGATATTATCTGTTGTATTTTAGCTGTGTGTGTGAGGTGAAGGTATAGCTCCAAGTGAAATTATCTGAAATTTCCTCCTTGGTTCTGAAATATGAATTGCTCGCACTTAGTGTGATGTTCTTTTATTTCCATGCAGATAGAAGTTGCATTAGGCCACCGTTGTGACACATCCTCTGTACCAGTGATGTCGGGCACCAGGAGAGGGGAATATGTACTCGATCTTGTGAAAACAGACACAGGGCGTAGCAAGGCCATTCTAGTAATAGGATCCAACACCCCTAGCTATATGGGAAAATAAGGGGGCTCCTGAGACAAGGGAAGCAGCAGAGAGGCCATTTTTATAAATGCTAGCCAGGTATGATCAAGGCATGATAAAATAGTCGAGTTGGAACTAAAAGTCTCTAATCTAAGAGCTAAGGAAACAGGCCTGGGAGGGACCAGAGGAAGAGTCAGGATGAGTATTTAGGTTTTATAGTTCCAAGAGAGATTGAGTCTATCGTGTTACAGAAGTAACTAAGGATTTACACTCCATGGTTACTTAGGTAACTACACTAGTATTGTATTGGAGAATCTAAGTACCTGTTTCAGGAGAGGATACTACAAAAGCAAACAAGTCTAAGTTCCCCCAACGCTTTTCAACAAACAGCTATATCTGATTGGTGTTCAGAGCACCGACCTGTTTGTCTGAAAATTAAGCTTTCAGAAAGCATCAAGAACAGAGAGTATGGCTCTGGGATTATGGAAAGGAAGAGACGGAAAAAAAAGAGTGAACAGGAGTTTTGCTTATAGAAAAGAAGAGGATGCTGATTGTGTGCTTTTGGGGGTAGAGGTCATCATTCAACATAGCCAACTCCAGCACAGAAGATCATGGAGAAACCAAAAAATGCCCCATTGGGAGGGGGGCGTCTAAAGGCCTCTGTAGAAATGCTGTGGCTCAGCATCTGCTCGAAGGACACAGGCTCAGGAGACCCCGAGTTGGAACATCTGAGACATTTGCGGGCACCCACCTCTGGACTCCTGACCTTTTTAACAACCCCTTACTTTTTAGGAGACTGGGAAATCCAGATATCGCATCACAATATCCACATGGGGAAAAAAGTGTCAGATGGTTTCTTTGAGGTCGACAATTAAACGACACCTGTTACATGAAAATCTACAAGACAGACTGGGAATGGTAACACAGTCATAACTAATACAGTTAAAAGTAACTAGCAATAATAGCTACTGCTTAAAGAGTACCTGCTAGGTGCCAGGCAGCACACTAGCTCTTCCGGGCTATCTTATTTAACCCATAGCAATTTACATACATTCTGGCATGAAGTGACTACCCGTTACATATAAGCACTGTGCTAGCTACTTAACAAATTTAATTCTGACCTTTACAATTGCCTTACAAAGTATTACACCATCCCATTTTACAGATGGGAAAGCTGAGGTTCAGGAGGTTAAGTGATTTGTCCAGGGTCACAAAATCAGGACTGGAATGTAGCTTTCAAAGGTCTTTCAACTTCAGTTTGATGTTGATTATAAAGAAAACCTACCAAACATGCTACAATGTATGAACAGTATATGTATTCAAATTAGCTGCCAGCCCTAGATAGCAACTGCTCCTCAAAGAGTTTGTCCAATTTCTAAATCACTTTCCAAACTTGGCGAGAGTGTCAGACAAATACAAGTGGGGTTACCAAAAACATGATGGAATGCCTCTGTTTTCTAGGCTCAGACTGAACTTGAACATGAGCAGACTCACAGCCACGTCATGATTCTTCCTTTTCTTCAGTGAGTCACGAGCCAAAATTAAAAGTTTTCCTATGAGTTTTTGCCACAGTGTGTCTATTAGCCCAAAGGGTTTATGAGTGATGTATATTTCAGTGAAGGCTCTGATTACTTAATGACTTTTAATGACTAGAAACATGGATTCTGGATACCTAAACACGTTATTGGGATAATGCCACCAAACTGGATAAAGCTAAGTAGAAAACAGCATTTTCTTTCTTGATCTATTTTTGTCTATTAAATAAATACTTATTTCACTTTAGATGCTAATCAGATTGAGTTAATAATAATGATAATGTGTTTCTTTATCGAAGCAACATAACATTCTGAAATGAACTTCAAATTAATGTCAATATCTAATTAGAGAAATAATGTTATTCCCACCTTGCCCCAAGCTTCCAGAAAATAAGTTAATATTTTCTAGGGGCAACTCTAGAGCCTTCCAAAGCTGAGTTTTTGCCCATTGTGCACCCCCCATTCCCAGCTTTTAACATTAACATTCCACATTGAAAACTTTTTATGAGAATCAAAAACCTTACAAATTAAGCTAGATCCTACATTTTTAACCATAGGCCCTCCAAAACTAGTTCAATCGTATAATAGTATTTCAAAGCAGCAGCCCATTCTCATTTTGCTATTGTCCTTTAACCAAATGGATGATACCCCATTCCATTTAATCTGAAGCACTGCTTGAATCTCACACTCATAATATGTAACTATCTGAGGGTTAAACCAGTTTGTGAGTCTGTGAATCACTTACCCAAAGTGAGGGATTTGTGTGTAGAACAGAAAACGATAGCCACAGTGTCTGCTGGTGTGAAACCGGAATTATTCCTAGGGGCAAGAGAAAAAAGTGCTTTACAAATACTTTCATTAAAAGACTATTTAACATATCCTAAATCAAACATAGTACCCACCTTCGTGTTGACATCCCTTTAACCAATCCTGGAGACAGAAGCCATTCTATGCCCAAATGTCTGAATGTCTTTACAGAGAATCATTTCTGAGTCACTTATCCTTGGAAGGGGGATGGTTTTAAAATGGTGTGGTGGAGGTCTTTTAAGATCACACGTGTAATCAGTGGTGGCGCAGGACTCCAGGAAAGTCATGCCGGGAAGCACTGCCTAGGCCAGGGGTGGGGAAACTTTTTGACTCGAGGGCCACAATGGGTTCTTAAACTGGACCGGAGGGCCGGAACAAAAGCATGGATGGAATGTTTGTGTGAACTAATATAAATTCAAAGTAAACATCATTACATAAAAGGGTACGGTCTTTTTTTTTTTAGTTTTATTCATTTCAAACGGCCGGATCCGGCCCGCGGGCTGTAGTTTGCCCACGGCTGGCCTAGGCTGTCACCTGATAGCAACCTGTTGGCTTGAAAGAGTCATTGTGTCTGCAAAACTGCTCACTCAATGACAAACAGGTCCTTTGAGAAGTTCATGGTATGAATAAAGATTCAACATCATAGGTTTTAGTAAAACATTATCCCATATATCAAGCCTCCTCTCAGGTCTCTGCAAAACATACCAATCCATCCTTGCTCACAGCTGAGAAACTGAGGCAGAGAAGGCGCATGTGACCCAGGGCCCCACAGCCGGGCATGACAGAGTCAGGATTTAAGTTAAGCCTGGCCCCTGTGCCCACGCTCTTAACTGCTATGTTCTACGATTGCTATACTAGAGGCCCGGTGCACAAAAATTTGTGCACTCGGGGGGAAGGGGGGTCCCTCAGCCTGGCCTGTGCCCTCTCGAAGTCTGGGACCCCTCGGGAGATAACGCCCTGCTGGCTTAGGCCTGC